CTTGGAAGAAAAATAAAGCATCTTGTAAAGTTTGCTTCTTTTAAGCTACCAAGCAGGGAAAATAGAGGGGGGGGAAAGCACATTATTTGGTACACTTTGTCTAGTTTTATTGATAATAACCAGTTTAGTAACCTTTTCAAAATAGGTAACATGGTTTGCTGTGACTTTTTTTTGACAAGGTCATATTGCTTCTTTGTTATCGATGTTTTCTTTTCTAGAGATTTACTGAGCTTCCCTTTCAAGATACTTCCTAGACATTTACGAAGAACAAAAGTCAAGCTCACTGGCCTATATAGAGGCTGTATATTCTCTTTCTTTTTTTGAAAACCAGGAAAACCTTTCCCCTTCTTTAGCCCTATAGCACCTCTTTTGTTCTCCTCACTCTTTCAAAGATCAAGGACAGTAACTCAGCAACCATATGCACCAGTTCTTTTAATGAACTAAGACACAGTTCAGCAGGGCATAAAAACTGAAACTTAAGGGCAGCTAGGTATTTGTTCCTATCTCTTAACTCATCTTAGGTTTCAACTCCCTAATAGTCAGTGTATTCTATCCTTTCCAGCCTAAGTATTAGCTTCCTTAAAAGAAAAAACTGAATCTAAACAGAAAGTAAATGGTAAGGGGAAGCTGGGTGGCAGAGGCAATAGAGCACTGGCCCTAAAATCATGAGTACTGAGTTCAAATCCAGCTTCAGATGTTTATTAGTGACCCAGGGCAAGTCACGTAACCCTCATTGTCTCAAAAAAAAGAAAGAAAGAAATTGAGCTGTACCCACTTACCTCTGTCATCTCTTTTCATTATTACATCCAACTCAAAAGAATAGTCCCTACCATAGCTTTGATGCGTTTTCCCAAATAAAATTAAGAATGAAGCAAAAAAAAATTTTCCTTATTTATAGCTTTACTCTTCTGCATATGTTCAATTTTTAGTACTCTTGACACTGTTCTTACAGTACCAGCAATGTTTTTGTAATCATCTTCCACTTCCTGGCTTTGCTTCTATTTTTCTCTAAACTTTTTTTTTTCTAATCCTAGTTGTTTGATGAGTTCCTTATACACTGACACTGGCCTTTTAGACAACTACCCTTTTATTCCTCACTGGCATTGCTTTTCATCATATCTTCAGGACTTCATCACTGAGACTTTCTGTTGTTCCTGACCTTACTTCTCCATCTATTATTTCTGTGAATACTTAGATACCTTCTCTCTCCAAATCTAGTGTTCAAGTCAAACTTTCTCCAATCTCTTCTATCAAAAATTGTCAGATGGCTTGGCCCTTTCCTTCAATGATTCCTATCATTTTCAGTTTAGCAATCAGTTCTTCTTTGTTGGTCAGAATTCAATAGAGAACAGCAGATCACACAATTAGTTTGAAAAATGAAATTATCATTTGGCTAAATCAAGAAAGTATTATCTGATCCGTTGTTGCCAGAGACAAGCTCCAGCAGTTATCTGGATAATTGAAGCCCCACCTTTCTACCACATGATGTCTGTGTGTCAGCATTTAACTTATTTCCTGCACTCCTCATTGATTTTCTTCCTGTAAAAGTAGATTGTTATTATTCTCCTATGATAACATTGCTCTATTGATCTCCATCCAAACACTTTCCTCCATGTTTACCTCCACTTAGATACCTGAATTTCTTCCAGTTAGTATAACTCCTTAATATGAAATGCTTAATCCAATCATTCTGGAAAGCATTTTGGAATTGTGCTTTTGAAAATGGAAGGAAGGAAAGAAAGAAATCTTTAAGTACCTTCTATGTGCCAGGCACAGTGCTAAACATTTTATAAATATTATCTAATATCATCCTTTACAACAATCCTTATTTTACAGTTGAGGAAACTGAGTCAGACCTATATCTCTGAGACATACAGCTTGTAAGTGTCTGAGGCTACATTAGAACTTGGATATTCATGGCTCCAGACCCAAGGCTCTATTCATTGTGCTGCCTAGCTGTCTCTAGGCTGTGATTAAAGTGACTTGTTAAGTGACTAAATCATACCCTTTGACTCACTGGTCCCACTGGTAGGCATCATAATTCAAGGAGATCCAAAACAGAAATGGCCCATATACACCAAAATATTTATTGCAGCACTTTTTTGGTAGCATGGATTTTTTACTCTTTAATCAATGTTTGATGAAAATCTACAAACACATATTTAAGCAAAACAAATTCCCACATTGGCCATGTCCAAAAAAAAAAATCTCAATCAACACCCTGAGTTTATTAAATTGCTACCAAGAAGTCAGTAGTATGTTTCATTATTAGTCCTCTGGAATCACGGTTGGTCACTGTGTCAATCTATGTTCCTAGGTTTTTTGAAGTTATTTGTCTTGACAGTATTATTCTAATTGTATAGATTGTTTTACCGTTTCCGTTTACTTCATTCTACCTCATCTCATATAAGTCTTCCAAAGTTTCCTTGAAACCATCCCTTTCATCATTTCTTAGAACACAATAGCTTTCTACCTTATGCATATACCATAATTTGTTCAATCCTTCCCCAATTAATAGGAATCCCCTCAGTTTCCAATTTTGTCTCCATTTTTTGGGTTAGATTCAACTGAGTCTGAGGTAGATAATTTGAGGTCCTACATTATTATAGTTGCACTGTCTAAATTTCCCTATAACTCATGAAGCATTTCATTTAAGTATTTAGATTCTGTCATTTGTTGTATATACATTTATTATTGATATTATTTCATTTTCTATGATAGACATCAGCAAAATGTAGTTTTCCCCATTAATCTCTTTTAAAAGTTTATTTTTCCTCCGATCAAACACTTGACACTTACTAGCTGTGTGACTCTGGGCAAGTCACTTAACCCCAATTGCCTAAAACATAAATAAGATAAAAGTGTATTTTTGCTCTTGCTTTGTCTGAGATTATGATTGTTCATTTATTTAAGTTTGTATGTATCTATTTCAAGTATGTTTCTCATAACCAATATAATGTTGTATTTTACTTTCTAATACATTTTGTGATATCTTCCATTTTATAGATGATTTATCCCATTAATATATCCCATTACAGTTACAATGCTTAATTTTTTTATTTCCCTCCATCCTCTTCTCTTATATATTTCTTTCTTTTTGTTTTCTGTTTCTTTTTTAAAAAGAGTATAGTAAGAGAGAAAAGTTCTCTACATTTGACATAATCTGCTTCTATTCCCCTGCCCTTCTTCCTTTTCCCTTTTCTTTGCCTTTAAGCACCTCTTCAAAATCCGTCCTCTATGATGAGAGTTTACTTTGCTTAAAATTAATTCACACTTCTATTATCAGTTCTTTCTCTTGATGCAGGTATCATTTTTCTTAATATGTCCTTTACAGTTAATTTGGGTATTTGTAATAGTCAAAATGACTTATTTGTTCAAAGTTGCTTTTAAAACAATGTTGGTGTTACTGTATACAATGTTCTCTCGGTTCTGCTCATTTCACTCTTCATTATCTTTAATTCCTCCTACTTATTATCCACATTTGCAACATTTGTACATAAGCTTGGTGGAAATAATCAGAGAATATGAGCTTGTCTGCTGGCACCAACTCTGCCACTTACTATGTGTGACCTAGAAGAAGGGACTTCATTTTTCTGTGCCTTAGTTTTCTCATTTGTAGAATATAAATATATTTGCACTATTTGCCTTATAGGATTCTTATAAGGTAAGTGTTTTTTAGCCTTAAAACATCATATAAATCTGAGTTGTTGGAGTGTAAGGATCATCTTTAAAGAACTTTTAAGTTTTCACAACACTAAACTCAATGAGAGAGAGATGCTTGATACTGCATTACCAAATTTCTATGTATAGTCATGGCCACCCACAAGTCCTAAGAAGGCCTCCTGAGCAGCTAGGGAAATTTGAGTAGAAAAAGCCAGAGAAAGAAATGTAAGGTGAAGAGGGAGGGGGAAACGGATTCAAAGCCCATAAGCTATACTGTTTTTGCATCTAGCTTTTGCCAGTTTCACCACTCATCTCAATGTTCGACTTCAGATGATGACATGGCAGTACTTTACAAATAGTCAGGAAAGCGGTACTTTCTAGACCCTGGGAATTCATCACTCAATTTCTTAAAGACAACACTATCTTCTAACCAGCTAGACTTCAGGGTTCAACTACCACTCGAGTCATTATACCATTTCTGTCCCCTTTATCACTGTGCTATGCTAATGAGCCAGCATGAATAAATAAATGAATAAATAAAAAAATAAATAAATGAGTAAATAAATAGATAGATAGATAGATAGATGAATGAATGAATAAATAAATAAATGAATGAATGAATAAGAAATGAAGGGGCAGCTAGCTGGCACAGTGGATAGAGTACTGGCCCTGGAATCAGGAGGACCTGAGTTTCAAATTCAGCCTCAGACACATAACACTCACTAGCAAAGGACCCACATGTACAAACATATTTATAGCAGCTCTTTCTGTGGTGGCAAAGAATTGGACATTGAAAAAATGTCCATCAATTGTGGAATGGCTGAACAAGTTGTGGTATATGAATGTAATGGAATACTGTTGTGCTATAAGAAATGATGAGCAAGTGGACTTCAGAAAAACCTGGAAAGACTTGCATGGACTGATGCTGAGTGACGTGAGCAGAACCAGGAGAACGTTGTACACCGTAACAGCCATGGTATGTGATGACTATGTTGATAGACTTAGCCCTTCTCAGCAATGCAATATGACATCTCCAAAGGTCTCATGATGGAAAATGCCATCCACATCCAAAGAAAGAACTATGGAGTTTGAATGCAGATTGAAGCATACTATTTGCTACTTTTTTTATTCTATTTTGTTTTGTTTTCTCTTTCTTGCACTTCCTCCTATTGGTTCTAATTCTTCCTTACAATATCACTAATATGGAAATATGTTTAATAGGAATGTATATGTATAGCCTATATTAGATTGTGCACTGTCTTGGAGAGGGAGGTGGGGAGGGATGGGGAGAAAAATTTGAAACTCAAAAGCTTATGGAAGTGATTGTTGATAAATCA